CCCAATCCTTTCAATATTAATGCTAAACCATACCGGAAACCCTAGACAACCTAACATCAAACAAGCGACACCAACAACCAGCAACCAACAGTCCCCCCGCCCCCCCGCTCCCTGACCCTTTTCATACATAGCATGCAGCTGAACCCCAAACTCTAAACTCTAGACCCTAGTCTCGAAATCCTCGAATATTAATATTTCTAGACCTTCAATATTCTTCTTGAATAGCTTAAAAAATATTAGATAAATTGAAATTCATATTTTCACATTTTTTATCATATGACTATATCTAATCATAAAATAGTTGGATTCTGAAAATCCTCAAAATGATGATTAGTCCCGACAAGCTACAGACCAAATAAGTCATGGATGATAAGAACCTATCTTCGAATTTTGGTTGAAAAGGACAAATACATGCAACTTAACCGAAGAGATTGGACCCTGTCAAAGCCTCGAGGAGTGCCAAACTCGAAACCTCAGAAACGACCGCCACGACGATGAGGATCAACGCGGCCAGCACCAAACGACCACTGGGGACCGTAAACCCTACAACCCCCCAAACTCACCCTGCTCATGCGGTGGCCTTGCTGGGAATTTACGCACTTCCAACGCTCTGAAAGAACAAAACTGCTCTCTGCTCTGAATCCCGCCTTTGTAGAGTTTTGGGAAAGCATTTTCGCCGACTCTGAATTCCACCCGTATGGGGGTAAACATGAGCGCTGCAGTCCTCCAGATGCTGCTCGTGTCTGTGACTCGCCAGTAGATGCAGGAAAACACTTTGGCCCTGCTAGTGAATCCTTTCAGTTCATGGGGGCAAGCATTGTGGTCATTTCTACTAGTGGTTGTTGGTGGTCGTGGTCGTCATGGTCATGGCAGTCGTCGTGCTCTGCCAGTGTTTTAGCACCATCTTGTTCACAAACATCGAAACACGTGCAGAAACAACACTCTCCAGCCGCTGAAAGTGGATCAGGGTTTACGGGCCCTGGATGAAGGACCAAGATGTTGAAGATGAAATTCCAACGGTCTCCAGGCATACCTTTTGCCGCTGCAGCAAAGCTGTCGCGAACCCTAGGTGGGCAGTTGTCGAAGTAGCAGTCGTTTGCCGAAAAGCCTAGGCAATATTGAACTGATTACACGAACCTGAGCCAAAACATGCTGTGGGCCCGGCACGGCCAGAATCAAGTTTTTCGACAACTACCCGCGCACGACTAAAACTATCCGCTTTGCTAGCGGTTCAACTGGTCGTGGAGAACCCCTCAACTATTAACTATTAAACATGAAGAGCAAGCTAATCCCAGAATCCGCCTACCCCCTACAAGCCGAATTACAGTAAGCCCTAAACCCTAAAGGTTCTTCTTGCCTTGAGCGGCCCGAAAGAACTGTGGAACCAGGGACTGCCCAGCCTAGACATTCTCCTCTCTTGCAAGCATAAAGTTTCCCCGAACTTAGATGTTCTTCTGCTTGAAGAGTACTTAAAAAAGTTTCGGTTCCTTTAAGCCAAGCAAGGATATAGGCTAGGGGTTAGTTGCTCCCCAAAATGAAACCCAAAACCTACACTCCGGGTGTTTGTAAGGAGCCCTGTATTCGCGCACCAATATCTTAAACAAACTATTTCAGCAGCCATTGTAATACACAGGCTATGGTCTGCGGCACGGGATCAAGGCAACTCCGACCCCGGTTCGGGCATTGAAAATTGAGAACGCAACTAACATCTTCCAAGTAACTTCACTCGTCGACTACAGCCTCACTGGCCGCAGTCCGTACCAAAGGCTATACTCGAAGCCCTAAATCTCAGCCCCACATCCCTACGATCCTACAATGTACTTCTGGCACTCTGTTTGCTCCCATTACCACCAAAAAAATATGCCTCCGGATACTGAGGTGGAGGCCCCAGGGGACTCGGCGGGTGATGCCTATGAAGCTTTTCATAGGGCTCTACAGGAGGGTGTGGGTTTACTATTGATGCTGCCACAGCACTTGTTCATAGAGTCTTCATGTATGCCCCGACTATTCACAGACACAAAGTAGGTTATGGCAGTTTAACGCAGCATTCCGAGTCCGAATTCGCCTCTTGATGATGGTCTGCTCGAACTTAGAGTATCGGCTTTAGGGGGTCCGGCACTTGAGGATAAGGCTAAAGGATTTAGTGGTTTAAAGCGTTCAAGGCTTCAAGGATAAGGAGAGCAAGCCTAAGTCCTAAATCGTTCGTCGTAAGCTGACAAAATAGACTTTAATGCTTCATATCCGAGGACCGATAACAGCTTCTGCCGTCGGTGCCTGCCCAATGCTCAGGCGGCCTGGACAGCCCAATTCTCTCGGAGTTACTTCGGATTCAGAAGGATTGACGGTGTAGGGTTGAACAAGGGTCTGGGTAGGAGTCTTGTAAGAGTTCTACAAGGTGTTTGTACGGGTTCGACTATCTGGTTTTCTGTGAGGTTATGACACTGCTTAATATCGGGGTGCTACAGGGACATCGGTGGATCAAGGCCCCAAACCCTAGACCCTAAACCCTAAATCCTATAAACCTTATTGCCATGTTCTTGTCTCGCGCCATTTCCGCCTGGGGTGTCGGGCTTCATTTTTTGAGACCAGTTTGAAAAGGAGCCCTCTGCAACATATCGGTGATTATTCAGGCTTCTATATGGCTGGTTGTCAAACTTAGGGTCCCTTTTTGGGTCCTTATTACAAAACGGCACCTTTTTTTTTAGGGTACCCAAGAAGGGACCATAGCCCGAAGCCCGAAACCTCGCAGGCTTTAGGGGTTAACGGGTTCAGCTACATGAAATTCCTGGGAAATCCTACACACCTAAACTGGACCTTTGTTGCTGGGTTCATAAGCCCCAACAAGTGTACACTTTCAGTTTTATAGTGGATAGTATTATCACAAAAAGTCAAAAGTGTATCCACTCCGCTACCAAGGGACATCTTAAACCCAATGCCCCTAAAGTCTTCAGTCACACGAGGGCAAGCCTACTTAAAGCATGAATCTCGTTCAGGGCTCCTCCCAAAAAGAGTCTTCGGTCATGGTATCCAAACACAGCGCTACCCCGAACGATGCAGTGCGGGCGAGACCTTCACAAGCTCCCCCTGCCAACACCCCACGCTTTGGAATTTGGCCCTTGGGAAAACTAAAGTAGAATTGCCGAATACGATATGAAATAATATCTCACTGTATATGAATGGAAACATTTGGGCACTTGCCAGTTGAGTGTAAGCTTTCGGGCTTCGGGCTTTTCGGTGAGGAAAGTCAAGTTGCAGCTGATGTACATTGGGTTCACTGCATGTCTCGACCCCAAAACCCTAAACCCGAAATACCACCAAAAAGACAGCGACATTTGCACGCCCGAGTTTTAGAGACTGCACCTGGGCAGAAGAAGAGTCCACACCTGAGCACGAGTTGAAGGCACGCGATGGTCTTCGGGTTATAGGGCTAGTTCAGGGGAGCGGGGCTGATGTAGGTGGCGTCTGGAAGTCGCAGTTACATCATCGCACAGATACATGGTGACTACCAGAGGGTATCACTTCTAATCGTGGACCCTAAATCCGAAGACGAATGTTGATGGAGCTCCCTAAGCCATTTGATGGCTGGCACTTCCTAAACCTCTTTTGATATCTGGCAGTCTAAAGTCTAAACCTAAACCTGACTGAACGGACCTGGCTGCAACACACGTGCTTTGCCCTCTGAAACCGTAAATGCCTCGGAAAGACACTTCCTCAGTAAACCCCGCGAGGTGCCCCTGCGCCTACGCTTACGCCTACTACTACTACTACTACTACTACTGCTACTACTACTACTACTACTACTACTACTACTACTACTACTCCTACTACTACTGCTACTACTGCTACGCTACTACTACTACTACTACTACTGCTGCTAAGTTGTTCTCCCACCCCCACTCCCAGACCTACTCCGACTCCTACTACACTACTTCTACTACTACTACTACGACGACGACGAAAACTTATGCTAACACGAATAATAATATGATTACGAATAATACTAACGAAGAATAACATGAATACGAATGATACTAACGAATAATAATATGAATACGAAGAATACTAATAAATAATGATAATAATAAGAATACATATGAATACTGATACGGATCCTATTGCCGCCGATCTCGCAGGTAGCAAGGCCATGGAGGGATCTATTTGGGCCCTGGGGTCACACCCGATTAAATAACGCTTTAGTTAGGTTTTGGGCTGCCTCCCAAGTGGGTTGTTATAAGATGCTTTTTAAACCCTGTATCTCAGGTACGCTTTCGACGAATGCATCTTGTCTACCATGTATGACGATTGTTAAATTACCTTGGATCTAGTAGGTTATCTGAGTGCTGGCGAGCCCCGATCTCCCCCCCACCACGGGCCTTCGGTGATGCTATTGAAAATCTGCTCCAACGTTGCTTGGGACACGGTGTACCTCGCTCCGACAGTGCCGAAGTCTACTCAACAAGGGGAGGGGCCAGAGCGTCTGGAGAACCTCCACTGCAGCATGAAACTCCTGAACCCAAAGCATGCATCCCCTCTTGTTGCTCTTGTTGTCCTTGTATTTAAGTATGTACGTAGTTACTCTCCAAGCAGGCGCCACGGCATTGGCCTCGTCGGAACTCGAAGGCCAACAGCAGGGATGCGCCAGCATGAAGGTCTCGGCCTCCGCCTGGAACACCGCAGCAGCCTCCCTGCACGTGCGACTGCAGGTCACCGTAGCCTGACTGGCCCTCTCCTTGGCCTCAGTCTAGGGGAGCCTGACATTTTGTCCCTGTCATGCCCAAGTGGAACTCTTCAGTTCTTGGCTTATTGACAAGAAGGCTCTTCCACCACATGTACTCACCAATCAATGCTAGCTTCGTCTAAGGCTCTGTACTTGGCCTTTATGACTCTGGGTGCAAAACTCTGAGCCCCTTAATCAACAAGTTTCGGGTCCCGAAGATAGCTTCCGAATCAAGACCCCTTTTATGGATCCCCCTAAACCCTAAACCCTAAACCCCAAGACGACCTGAACTCGAACACATGAGCCAGCGCAAAACACGGCATCCAACGGTTGCGACTTAGGCGGCTTTGAGTCTGAAAGTACTTTGGAAATGTTGTAGCTTAGGGTTTAGGGTTTAGGGTTCAGGGGTTTAAGGTTCAGGGGTTTGGGGCTCACGGGTTCAAGGTTTAGGGGTTTAGGGTTGGGGGTTTAAGGTTTAGGGGTTTGGGGCTTAAATAAATGGTTTGGGGTTTAGGGGTTTGGAGCTTTATTAGAGGTTTGGGGTTTAGGGCTCAGGGGGTTTAGGGTTTAGGGCCTGCCTAACATGGACCCGAACAGGATGCCAGGGTTAGGTGAGACGGTTCTGCATGGGCTATGGAGACATTCCCAGGGCAGAGACATGACCTCAACCGTTCTGAGCACTACCTACTTGGAGGATCACGGGAACTAGTAAGTTGGGTTATAGGGGTCCCTTTAAGGGATCTATAGGGGTACTATAAGGGTTTAGGGTTTAGGGTCTACTTGGAGGATCACGGGACTTAGTAAGTAGGGTTATAAGTACTTTAACTGGGGTTATAAGTAATTACACGTACAGTTACTTTAATTATAACCCTAGTTACTAAGTCCCATGATCCTTTAAGTATGCCTGACATCAGCGTAAACGCCAAATCCCGAACCTCGATCCTACATCTTGAACGCAGCTGAACCTTACATCCTGCACCCCCAAAGTCGAACAAACGTACAGCGCTCAAAAAGATTGCAGAATATGCTCCGCGGACCCTTACTTTCTGTCACAGAAAAACCTAAAGCCTAAATCCTCGACCCTTCAAGGCGACAAGTCGACATCTATCACCGGCGCACTCGTCCATGCCCAAGCGGGCCGAGTTCTCCTTTCGGGGTCTCACTACATGAGTGTTCAGGTTATAAGTGGGGCCATAAGTAGGATAACTATGGTGATAACCTATATTCGGGGACTTATACCCCCACTTATAACTACCCATGGTTCAAGGTTCAGGGTTTAAGGCTCAGCCTTCAGGGGTCTCTCCTTCTCGGGCTTGTGGCTGAGGGTTGAAGGCTTTCTCGTGCGAGGGCGTGGAGCTTTGGTTATGGTGAGGGGCAGTTTGCACTGCAAAGAGCAAGATAACCGCAAGAACGCTTTTAGCATGGGTGCACTTCTAGTGCACTAAGATAGCGTGCTATCACGTGCAAGGCCTCACGATAGTGAGCTCAAGTACCCGAAAACGGACAAGCGTTGCTGCTGACTCTATACTTCCCTCCTAAACGACCCAAACCCAACGAAGTATCATCTCCCTCTCCAAAGGCTAGTTCAGATTGGCTTTTAGGCACCCTCGGTGACCGTGCGGCTTGATCCACGACCAAACCGTTTCAGCGCGTCTACAACCTAGGATTTCTCGACTTCCCCAGGTCCCTCAACCACTAAGCCCTATAAACCTATACCCGACACCAGGGTCATAGGAAATAGCAACCAGGGCGGCAAATAAGGTAACTAAAGCTGTCGTCATTAGCAGTACTTACAAACTTGCAACATCCACTGATCCGCCCACAACAAGCCCGAATGCCCTTTCGAACCCTAGTACATGATCCCTTTATAAAACCCCGTCGAAGAACATTGCTTGACGTAGACCCCAAACCCTATGTTAAACAGCAGCCCTAAACACTGAACCCAAGGACGGACGCTCAAGTCCAGGCCCCTCCTCTAGCTGCTGGAAGAGCTGAGGAAGGCTTAAACCGCTTCGCGGTAAGCGAAACCTGCTGCATTGACGGTAGCTTAAGGTGTTAGGACATAAGTAAACCCTATACTTTGAGCCCTCAATCGCTACACAGGCCTTTCGATCTGGGGCTCCAGGGTTTATAAATTACTTAGGTTTAGGGGTTTGAATTGGGCTTAAGGATTTCGGGCCGATGGCCTCCGATCGGATAGCAAGGGCCCGGAGATGGGGGTTTGGGGAAAGATCCCACTTGGGAGTTTCCGAAAATGGGGCACCCTAATACAGTACCCTAAATACTAGGATCTTATTATAAGGACCCCCAAATAAGGTACCCTCAATTTTCGGAAACTCCCACTTGGGTCACTCGGAAGGGGAGCGATCGAGAGACAACTCCTCCAAGCGTCACTCCGACGCGGTAATACAGGGGCCTTGATCATTAGAATAGGGTTTAGGGGGCCCATTATACTATAGTTAGAATGAAGAGAAAGTGTTTTTTTGAAGCTGAAGAGAAAGTTTAGGGTTAAGGGTTCATCATTTCAAGACATGATCAAAGTCCCATTTTGGACTGCTCCCATCACTTAGTCGCGTCGCTCAGAACCGATCTCAATAGGTACTCTGCTGCGAATACCTAATACCAATACTACTACTAATGCCCATAGCTCAACGGCCCAAGTCTTGGATTGCCCAAACATCCCACAACCCTCGACGCCAGATCAACCCTGAACCCAAGATCCTGCGTTCTGATTCGTATTCACAAACCCTAACTTCTACCCCCTGGGCCGCAAACACTACACGAACCTTCTCCCAAAACACAGAGTCTACCTTGGGTACTGCCTCCATAAAGTAACAGTTTACAATAGGGCTGCTATTAAGGTCCCCTAATACAGCTGCATTATGAATACTATCCAACTGTTACTGAGTGGGGGCAGTACCCCAAGTATACCCAGCATCCTAAGTCCAAACCCTCCTAGACGCCTCCAATACAGCCCGAAGTCTTCGGCCAACTCCACACGATCGCCTCGGCTTCGCTTTTCTTTGGGTGTTCGGGGGCTTAGGGATATAAACAAAAACACAAAAAGAGTAGGGATTGGGGTTAAGGGGGTTCTGGGTGTGGGGTGGTTTGGGTTTCTTCTGCTTGTGTTGTTAAGTGGCACCTGCTTCGGGTTGTGAGTGCTCCTCGGGCTCAGCAAACACGGGGAGCCTACACCTGGTTCAGGGCTGACGCTCCGCAAATGTCGGTGGTTTCGGGATGAAGAATTCGGGTTCTTCGGGATACAAACCCTAATCCCTGAACCCTACCGTTTCCGGAAGCAGGGTTTCGAATCTTTGTTTAGGGCTCAACTTCCACTGGCACGACCCAAGCCCCGTTTGACGGTTAGCTGCGCGATTGGTCCCAGTGTATAAGTCGAAGAGTTACATGGTTTAGAGTTAAGGGTTTACGGAGAACCTGAGCGCATGACCGCCTTTCTTCGGTCGCGGAACAAAGACACACCACGCACTGTGCCTGCCGTACCTGACTCATAGCCCTGAAGGAACCCTTAAACGCTAAGCCCTTAAACCCGTAAGCCCTTCAAACCCTTAAACCCTTGAACCTTTGAACCCTAAACCCTTAAATTTTGACCCTAAATCTAGACCTTTAACCCTAAACCTTTAAACCCCAAGCCATGAACCTTCTTCAACAATAAGCCCTAAAACTCTACACCCTGAAACGGAACGCGCCTGCCAGAGACTGCAGGAATTCTTCGATGGCATGGCCTTTGGCCTGCCAGGGCGGAGGACGTGCGGGGGCTGGAGGGGTTTACAGTTTGGGGCTTAGGGTTTGGGGTTTACGGGTTTAGGGGTTTAGGGTTTAAAGGGCTTGAGGTTTTAAGTGTTCGAGGTTTAAAGGGCTTGGGTGTTTAAGGGTTTGGGGTTTGAGATTAAAGGGTTTGGGGTTTAAGGGCTTAGGTTTCTTGGCGGGCTTCGAGCCCCCTTTAAGGAGTTGAAGGAGTTTTTGAGCTGATGAGATGGAAGGTCTGAGGGTTGTAGGGTTCCGGAGTGTTAGAGCTTTAGGAACTCAGGGTCTTATAATGAAAAGCGTAAAACAAGTCACGGGGTTGAGTGCGAGGACGAAGTTTGCTCAGGAGGTTTGGCTGTCCAAAGATTGCTTGGGGTTTGTGTAGGGTTGCGGGCATGGGGCTGAGAACAAAGAAACCGAGATTCTGGCTTCGGGGTGGCACTTGCCGGAAGGTTGCATTGGCTAGAAAGAGTTACAGCTTCTAGATGAGTTCTTGTTGTCGAACTTATTCAATAGTTACCATGCTTGGGGTATACATTAAAACAGATGATGCCGTTATTCTGATAATAGAGCCGCTGTAGATCCCTGATAAGCACCTGATAAAACCCTTATGGAACTTGTGCCGAATCCTTGTCGGGCCAGAGCGTACAGCCCTCAAACCACAAACCCCAAAGGTGCTAAGCCCTATAGATGTCTTCATGAAACAAAGAACCCACAAAACCCCATGAACCACCAGCTCAGCTCACAACCCTAAACCCCCCGTTAAACCCTCCCCGGCCCTAAACCCTAAACTCTATGCCCTACACCCTAGGCCCCAGGCCCCAAACCCTCTTCCCTGGCCTGCTGTAGCCACCACTCCGCCAGCACGGAGGCCTCGACACAGCCTCGCTGCTCGAGCTGCAGTCGGACCTCGCTTCGGTCGTAAGGGCTCTAAAGTAAGGGTTTATAAGGGTTTAGAGGTTTAGGGTTTAGGGCTTTTGGAGAAGATGGCTGAACTCGTCGAGTGCACACTCCGCATGCATAAGGGACTTAGGGTTGGGCTTTAGGGTGGGTTTAGGGTTTAGGGTAAGGTTCCAATAAACTCTATTCGAGTTCTCTATATGGGTTCTATAAGGGTTCCCATATAAAAGAGTTAATGAAGCTATTGAGGGTTCTACATTATGAGTTCTGCAGGGGCTTTTGTAAAGCTTCGGGATCCCTGTAAGGTTGTTGAACGTTGTATGGGGGCTTTACGGGCTGAGGGGCATTTTTTAAGTGCACTAGCCCCTTTCTCCGCAGCAGCAGAGTCAAAAGCTCGCTCAGGGTTTAGGGGCTTTGGGATCCAGCGTTTTGGAGCTTCGGGCCGGGAGTTTGAGTCACTGGCCCCGTTCGGGATTTAAAGGGCGTTTAGGGTTTTAGGACTTTGCACTGCAGGCTTTGGTGTCAAACGATACCTCCCCACCCGAAATACAGTCTCCTTAAGAGGCATGCTATTTCAAGGGACATCAACTAGGCGACGTGGGTCTTGACAAAGGTAGATGTAGATACAGCTACTTATAACTACTCATAACAACAATCAAGGCACTCGTAACCTGTATTACTCACTCACCTGATCGCTACACCCAAGCCGTACGTGAACCCCAAACCCTAGTATTTGGGGCTGAAGGCTTCGAGTTCGGGACGCCAAAAGCATGGCCCGGACTACAAAGAGGAGAGAGACTGATGCCATGGACACTTAACCCCACGCAGCGAAACCCTAAAACCCCAAACCACTAAACCTGAATCCAATAAATCCCCAATCCCCGAACCTCGTTGCTTTCAGAGTTGGCTGTTTTCTTATGGCATTGATGTAGGATTTCGCATGATCTTGCTTTCGGAATCTGCCAGTGAGCCCTGGGTAAGAGACGATGCAGCGAGGCCGGTAGTACGCCGCCCTGGCAGGGTCTCAGTATCTGAGAATTGCGGCCTCTGGGTTTAGCGTGTTGTGTCCTTTCTGACTTCAAGGCTCCGGGCTTTTGGGCTATCAGGGCTTTAGCCTTAATGGTGTTGGGGCTTGCGGGAATTAGGTGGGCATTGGGACTTCAGTGGCGTACGAGTTGTGGTGTAAGGGGCTTGGGAGGATCGCAAAGGCCCCAGATGGCTAGTGTTTGCGAAAGACTGTCACCCTAAGTGCCACTCCCTGACCGCGATGACATCTGAACCCGCTTAGGGTTCAAGGTTTAAGTGGCAAGCACAGCCAGAAGAGCCCGAACTGTGACCCGACCTTCTGACCTACTGTATAGATGTCCAAGCCAGTGTTTTTGGCTGTAGCCCCTAAATGCTGTGAACTCCATCTCAAAAGCCCGGAGTGCTTAAGGTCGTCCCAGCAGGTATGTGACTCCTTCTCAAGCCCACCGTCTCACAGTTGCCGCATACCAGCCCGACCCCTGGGCCCCGAAAAACCCAGGCAGGGCTGCAAGTAAGGTACCTATAGCAAGTAGTTGCACTTCCTGCAAGACGGAAGTCTGCAATCGAAAGTTCCCGTCGCCTTCGCCATGGAGTAGATTCCAACATGGCCATGACGCTGGATGCCTGCCGTCTCGGGAGCCCACGCCACAAACCGCGATGTGGCGGGGGGGGGGGAGGCCTGGTGTTCCCACACCCTAATTAATCCTTCAGCCCCTACTTGCCGGCTGTCCCCGAGACCCACACCAAATCTGATAGTCCAGCCCTTCCCGAGATTCCACCCCAACGCTGATCTCGACCCCGACAGAGGCATGAATAAACAGGCAAGGGTTTTGAGGTACATACTGTGCTTTGGTATATCATAGCTGCATATCACCAAAACATGTTTCGGAACTTCTCTACTGTTTTCGGAGAATCGGATCTTGAAAGACCTTCTGCTGACTCCCGAAGGCCTGCCTTTGCAAAACTACACCCCGCCCCAGGGCAGAAGCCCTTTTTGACCTAAGCTCCGAAGTCCTCAAATCTCGAAAATTAGGGGTACCTTTAAAGGTATCCTTTAAGGGTTCCTTCAAGGGATCTATAAGGTTTTTAGAAAGGGTTTAGGGTTTAGAGTTTCCGAAAATTAGGGGTACCTTTTTTTGGGGTTCCCTTATGATAAGGATCCTACTATTTAGGGTACTATATTAGGGTCCCCTATTTTCAAAACCAGCACTAAACTCTCGAAGTCGTAAAGCCACAGGCTTAGGGATTAGGCTTCAGGGCTCGGGGTTTAGCTCATATCTGGATCCTACAATCCTACAATACATACTGAATGACATTCAGGACTTGTAAAAGGAAATCATGATAGGTAGCACGATGAATTGTGGTTATTCAGGGTACAGGTAGGTGGATGCCTTCGAACTCAGAAGCCCAAACCTTAGCTTGTTTAGAGCCAGAAAGGAAGCCGCATCTGCCTCGAGCTCAGAGCTCATATCCCGCCTAGGCAAGGCTCAGCTAATTTTCGGATAGTCTGAAGCTCGTGATGGGCTTTAGCCAGTTGTTGGATCTTAATTGTGGCCTCGGGGCGCTCTTGATGGTTGAGCTGTTCGGATGGAACATGCGGGTCTCCTACGTATCTGTGCTGACATACAGTATCGACTGATATGCAGATGTATACACACCTGTTCCGAACAGTGTGAGCAGGAAGTCTGCGGGAGATCTTGCACTTCTGCCCGAAAAAGGCTGACATTTAAGTAGTGTAGTCTGCAAATACATCCATGACCCCCCCCCCCCCCCGAAAAAAAAAAAAACATATTCATGCTGCATAATTACAAGTGCATAACTAGAGCTGAGACCTGTCCAAAGGACACGAAAAACACGCTGGAAGGCTCAGGCTGTGGAGTCCCCCTACTCCCTAAGAAGAAGCGAAGGTGCTTTCGAACTGAAGGCTGGCAGATGGGACTGATGGGGGAGTCGGAGGCAAGGCATGTTGGTAGGGACTCTTTATCTGCTGGTGGTTCCGGTGATTGATTTCGTGGAGGAAGAGAACACAAAGATCCGTAGTAAAGGAATCTACCAGAAACCTCAGCCGGGCTGAGGCATACACCGATCTCCCAAAGGACCCCCGGTGCTCGCAGATGCCCTAAACCCAACAAAATTCAGTCCCTAAAAGCTCTAAATCCTGAATCCTAAACCCTAAATCCTAAGCCCTTAAACCCTTAAACCCTTAAACCCTAAACCCTAAACCCGAAGCAACCCCAGGGTTCCGAAGAACACATCCCCGAGGGCCCGGGCATCACTTGGCTCAGGGCTTCCTGACATGCTAGGGAGTCTCGGAAGTTGTGTAAACTTCCATTCAAGGCAGTAGGGGTAGCTTAAACAGAAGGTATTGAACCTTAAACGTGATCCCTACCTGAGGCGATAATCTGATACAGTTTTTCGTTGCTTGTGTGTGTGTGGAGCATGGGTTCAAACGATCCCAGCTGTGAGTTCCTATCCCGACTACCGACCGTGCTTCAGCCGCGACATTTTTCGACCACGACGGGAGGTAACACCTTACAACTGTCAAGCAACAAGATTTAGGAGCCTATCTAATTAGAAGAGGATGTTGGGGTGTCAAAGATGTAGTCAATATAGTCATAATCAGGAACCCTAAGCAACGGTATTAAGATAGCTATTCAGGCCCCCATATCAGCAACGTTCAACTGACCCAGGTTCACCAAGGAAGAAGCCCGGAAGTTCGATACTCCGCACCCCAATGTTAGGAGCCTCTTCAGATACTTGAAGGCTTCGCACACGGATGCAACATGCCCTACCCTTGAACTCCCAGGCACAAGAACGACTCGCCCTCTACAAAGCTACAATGTGCATATTTCGGAGTTCGGACAGGAATACTGCTGGACAGTTTGACAGAGGCACTTTCGTTCGACCCTAGATCACACACCTCAAGTATTAATCTTTAAATCGTCAGTTACATCCAGAACCTATACCTTGAACGCTTCAAGCCCTGCAACCCTTAACTGGAAACCACAATCGGAGGTGAGAAATCACGCTATTACGCGCGATCATCCAGTATGCCAGCCGCGATTGGGTTCCTTCTCAACTTACCTGTAACTCAACTGCCTCCAAGAATTCCGGTACAAAGCACTCTGAAAACGGTTCCAAACGTTCTTACGCCCAGTGACCTGCCGCACCTTCTGTCAGGGCATCGTGATCCGCTCAGGTCCAGAACCCTAATGTAGACACCTGATTAAGAAAGCTTGGGGATTCATTAGGATTCCTTTAGAGGGGTCTATAAGGGTACTATAATAGTGTAGGAGCCTGATTAAGAAACCCGTGGCTTTTATTGGGGCTCCTTATATGGATCCTACTATTTTTTGGCTATAGGCCCAGGGTGTCTTAATCAGGCTCCTACATTAGACCCTCAACCTGTAAACCAGGACACGAGCAAGCTAAACAAAAATCTTTCACCATGAGCGGATGGCCACTTTGCAAAATTCACCCCTTAGATCTCTATAGCCCATAAATCCAAAGCTGCACTAACCCTGCATAAACTCCCTAAACACTAACCCTCCCGAAACTCCCTAAACATTAATCCTGCCTACACTCCCTGAGACACAACTTGCCTTTGGCTAGTAGGGAATGGAGGAATGGGGTACAATCATAACTACTATTACTACCATTCTTCCTTTCCCTACTAACCAAATTGGTTATTATTAAGGCCCCTTATATTATAGTACCCCTATAGTAACCCTTATAGACCCCTGTATAACGCCCCTTCCATTCCGTGCCAACCAAAGGTAACACAAGCAGAGCCCAGCTGTCCTCACTCTCCGGGCGAAGTCTCAAAACCAGCTCTTGGCTGCTGCCGTGCTTCTCCTGTGGCAAAGATGTGGGAACCCTAAACCCTGCAATCCTAAACTCAAGAAACCCTGAAGCCCAAAACCCAAACGCTAAACCCTACAACCCTGCCCTAGACCCTGAAACCCTAGACCCTAAACCCCAAACCCTATACCCTCAAACCCTCAACCTTTGAAGGATTGGGAATGCGGAGAAACAAGCAAAGCAAAGGCTTCAAGGTTTAGGGGGGACCCAGGTTTCAAAATGTCGGGGTCAGTGAACTTAGTTGCTGAGTTCATAAGCCCCGTCAAAGTGTACACTTTCAGTTTTATAGTGGGTAATATTATCCCCAAAAGTGTAAAGTGTATCCACCCAACTGCTAAGTGAAGTTTGGTGTTTAGGGCTTCGGCGCGAATTCCCCGCAAAACAGCAGTTTTTCTACGCCAACGCCGCCATATCTTGAGCTTCAGAGGCCTCGAGGTGCTTCCACAGGTCATGACATCCTAAGTCCTAAGCCCTCAAAATCTAAACCCCGAAGCACCAAAGGCCCCGCCAGGGCTCAAGGTTGCTCCTTACGGCAGTGCTTGTCTACACAACAAGACAAATGTTGCGCCTTACAGTATATATACATTTACATATATATATACACACATACATACATGCATACATGCATGCATGCATACATACTGTTATATACATGTTATATCTAGTTACCTGTTTGATTGCTGATGTGGAAATTCAGATGATAAATAGGTATATTTGGGTGTGAGTGCACGCATGCAGATGCAGATGCCACCGCAGAATTGCTCTGTCAATAGCCCATGCCTTGATCTGCTGCGCTGTGCCCACCTCTGCTTTGGAGCTTGGGGCTCTAGGGTTTTACTCCCCAAGACTGCGAGAGCACCAGCCTTTACAAATTCAGAGGCAAAGGTTAGGGTCTAAAGTGTCGTAAGACATCCTGTAAGAAGCTGACAACTCCGTCCATCTGCATGGTCTGGGATTGAGGGTTTCGGTGCTTAAGGTACGAATGGCTTCCCTCGGCGATAAGTCCGTCAGCCGGGAACCGTAACAATACGTACCAGCTGGGTTCTCTCAAAGGCTAGGAGTTTACGATGGTTCCATGAAGGTTCGACAAGGGGTCTATATTGCCTTTCTGCCGGTCTTTGGAAGGGTTACTCGCGGTTTAGGATTGGGGAGCTTTGTTTACGATCCATTGCAAGGCAAGCATCCTATTCCCTAGATAGCCTTTGAGTTCAAGTTCAGAGACTGAAATCGAGAGCAAACAACCTATACATTCATCAGTGCAAGGACCCTTTAAAGACCTTTTAAACCCCAGAGCATCCTAAAGCCGTGAGATACAGCGCCCAAAACCCTAAAAAGAGTTCAACCCCGAACCCTAACATCTTAAGCCCCTTTAGAAACCCCAAAACCACCCCCCCCCCCCCCCCCGAAAGCCCAAACGCCCTAAACTCCTCGAGACCCGGGCCGTCAGGAGCTGTCCCTCTGCCATAATACCAAGGCGACTGGACAGGGCCTCGGCTTCTGTAGGGGATTTCGAGTCTTTATGGCTTTAGGGGTTTTTGCGGCTTTTTGGGTTTAGGGCCTTTAGGGTTTAGGGTCTTTAGGGTTTCTACGATTTGAGGGTTCAGGGTTTAGGGATTAGGGCCTTTAGGGTTTCTACGGTTTTAGGGTTCAGGGTTTAGGGTTTGGAGTGTAGGGTTCTCACGAGGTTCCGCCGACCCTGGCGGCGTGTTGGATGGGTCTCGATGGGTTTGGAGGTGTTAACCTCCCTTTTTCCCTAACCAAAATCCCGCACACCGCGCGCCCCCTGGGGGGGGGGGGTACCCCATGGCTGTTTGCAAGCAGCACCCAAGTCCCCAGCAGCCCATTGGGTTCAAATCAGTTCACTGTAGGAGACCATCAATTTTTTCGCCTCCCCTCCCCTCCCCTCTCCCCGCCCTCCCCCCTACCCCTCCCCCTGAGATGTAACCTGGACGTGTATCCCCTCGCTAGGCGTACAGGAACACAGGCACTCAGGTGTCTCTTTTGCTACAGGCGCACAGCTGTAGTCCACTGCACTAGAACCTTGAGCAACAGGCATGGATACATGCAAGTGATACGTGAAACAGACAGGCACCTGGATGTGTAACATTCAGTGTTTCAACCAGGCACAAATTTAAAACACGTAGAGCTGCATGGCCGTGGAGTCGGCATTCAACTAGCCTGTTATTGCTCTCGGTCGAATTAGCGGAGTATTGAGCTACATCTGCGACTTGAAGAGAATCTATACATCTCTCACCTGAAGACAGCTTCAATGAAAAGAGCAGAACACGCACGAAAACGCAAACGGATCTTCAACTGAAAACTTTTGCTTGAAAGTTGCCCACTTGTGTTCAGTTTCCTCTCCAGGCGGAAAGCTTACTGTCACATAAAAGATTGTAGAGCTTAGCTCCACTTGATGCCAGCATGACATCTTGCGACACGGCAAATATATAAGGGCATGAGAAGTATCTTATCCTGAGATAAGTATCTTCTTTGAGAAAGAGTTCTTTAGGAAGTACCTTTTCCTGAGAAAAGCATCTCCCTATGAAATGACGAATGCTCAAGTGGATACCTTCTTCTGAAAGAAGCATTCCGTGAAACACTCTGCCAGTTCAGTCGATGAACTCTATGTCGCGATCCCAGGTTCTATCACGCCAATGTTCAGTACCATGCCAGCGGTAAATGTCAACCGTGTGGATCGGCATCACCGGAGCATGGCGAACAGGGTCGTAACCGCGGGGATCAGCAGGGGATCTAGGTAACGAAATCTGTGGATCAGGAGCAACGGCATCATCTTGTTCCAGAGGAACCTCGTCGAGTCCATTGTCCATTTCCACATCTGAAGAATCGGAACCTAGTCAGTGTTTCCCCTTGCTTTTGCCCTTGGACTTGTCCTTGGACTTGCCTTTGGACTTGCCCTTGTCGGCGTCCTTGCCTTTTCCTTTGGAGGACTTGCCTCCTTTGCCGCCTTCTTTGCCACCAGGAGGTTGTGCGGGTTCTTGAGGACGTTGAGAACCAGAAGCTTTAGCACCAGAAGCTGCCTCTCCCTGAGAAGAGCTTGCTCCCTGTGGTGCGGCTGCAGGACCAGTAGAACCAGAACCACGCGCCTTGTTCAGCTTCTGTCTCTCTTTTCTTCTGTCCGCGGCTTCCTTCACGGTGTCGGGATTGCGGTTGAGCGCTCTCATCCTGCCTCCAGAGTACTGGTTCGCGTGAACCTCGATGAGGAGCGGAGTGTGAGCGTCATAGTCCCGATCGTTGAGAAGGTACGCGGCGCTGGTGGAGTTTAACAGCCACTCAGAGACATGGATGTCGAACTCAGTCTTTGAAGACGGAAACTCCGCCCATTGATCGTCCGACATGCTGTGTCCCCATTCCATGACTGTAGCCATAACAGGATCCAAACCAGGAAAAGTATTCCAGTCTGGTTGCTTAGCTTCCTTGTATGGCATTCCCAGCGTGTCCTCATACTGTTCAGAAGCCACATGGCGTTTGCTGACACATGTCTCGCACGAGGCGAACAGAAGTGTGGGCACTTTGGGCTTTCTGACCAGCCTCCAAGAAGTAGTCGAGAAGGCTTTGGTACATCCCGCCACGAATATCCATCGACTCCTGCTTTCTGCCGGTGGCCCGGTAGAGGGCCATGTTGGCGTCGCCACCGATGAGGTCGACTTGGTAGTGCAAGCAGTCGATGAACATGTTGCCCAACACTTCATGAGCCAACGCCACCTTGTCTGCCGCCGCGTCATTGTGGAGGTGGAAGACACAAACTCTGAGCCGGTCGGATCCAGCTCGCTCCAAGACCTTGGTCAGTGACTCATCTGGAACATCACCACGACTGCCCTGGAGACCGGTCGGTAACGTCATGCCATACACGATTTCCGCGACCATATAGGTTATTGGAAGGGACTCGTGGGCATATCCACTGAGAGTGGAGCCGGCAAGACGGGTGATCGAAGATCCGACACCATTTGTACGACTTCCCACCATCAGGTCCTTGGACTCGTTACGAAGGAATTGCCAACCGCGTGACTTGAGGAAGGCCTCTTCGGAGTCATCGATCTTAGCCGCTTCGCAGAGCATGAACAAATGCGTCTTCGACTGTGCAATCGATTTTATCAAGGCTCCTTTAGATGGTGTAGCATCGTCCCAGTCAATGTGATTAGCAACGGAGCTAGGAGCGGAACGCTTTCTTCCCCTGCTCATGTTGCCGAGATTGAGGATGAGCGCGGCATACTTGGTCTTGCTGGTGAAGATAGGGACATTGGAGTCCTCTGCCAGACCAAAACGATGAATATAAGGATTCGGCGTCTTCTCAAGAGAGAGGTCCCCGATCTCCTCTTCATCGACTCCGGTGCTCAAGAAGTAGTGAAGCATAGCATTCAAAAGTTCTTCTCGAGTTGCCGGATTGCCGCTTGCATCCAGGGACTTCAGCTTATCAAGAAGTGCTTCCATAACATCCAGTGCTGGTCGAATAGATCCACCATAGAGAGAGAGTATTTCTGTCCCTTGTGGTTCGGAACATTTACCCTCCAACTCATATGCTGCACCTTGTAGGCGAGAACGGGCTCGTAATCAGGATCACGAAGTCCTGTATGATACAAGCCTGAATAGCCATATCCATGCAGCTGCTTGCAGAGCATCCGCATAGGGCTTTGTCGTTCGATTTCGGTGAGCTGATTAAGGAAATGTTTGAACTCTTCGAGATCAACGAGCTCGATCTTTTCCTTTGCCTTGCCCATTTTGTCGAACGCGTTCTCATTCTGGTCCTCTGCATCCTTCGCGGCCTGGTAGTACTCAGGATCCGGAACAGTCTTGCATTTCCCCCAGATGCCTTGATCGTGAAGTTCACTTTCATCATCCTTCTCGGGAGAAATGTCTGGCATGGATTCCTCACCCTGTGGTGAGCCTTCCTCAGCCATTTCAATGTTCTCGGACTTACCTCCTTCCTGACCCATGTGCACATCAGGTTCGACCTTCACCTCGGATGCCTCTCCCTGTGGAGAGCTTTCCGTGGCTTCGGTCTCCATTGACTCGACAGTAGCCCCAGGTACCTCTCCCTGTGGAGAGCTTCCTGGAGCATCAGTCTCCATTGGCACATCGGTCGGCTCGGTCTTAACCGGATCAACCTTCTTGCCCTGTGGCAAGTCCGTGGATCCAGACGACGGTTCGGAGGTATCCATCTGAGTAGCCGCGGGAGGCTCTTCGATCTCCTCGATCTGTGGACATGGGAGTCGCTCGATGAACTCCTCAATCATAATGTCGTCATATGGTCGGGTGAGGAGCTCATTCAGCTCAGACTCCTTCTTCGCCTTCAAGTCTTCGTACGCCACTAAATCAGCTTTTGCCTTGCGGGCGAAAGCCGACTTGAAATCGCGCTGGTCAGACTCAGCGAAGACTTTCTCCAGAACCGCCAGGAGGTAGCTGCCGTTGAACGGCTGCTTCAGGGTACTGTCATAGAGACAATAGCCCTCAGGGGTTCGCACCGTATATTTACGGCGAACCTCCAGATCACCGGCGTGGCGCTGGATGTAGGAGAAGAAGTCCACTCCATAAGCCTCATTGATGACGCGGACGAGCATCTGGAAATCCTCTCGCACATAGCCAACCTCTTCATACACATACCTTTCCCTGAGGAAAGCCTTGTGTGTGGCGAGCTTGCGAGAGTAGTCGGGATCCTCTGTCCTTGGCATCTTTGCACGAGAGTCATTGTCCCGAGGGCGATCGAATCCAATGTTACCCAAGTTGGGCCTGAATTCGTTCGACGCGGCAACGGAGACATCGTCCAGCATCTGGGCAAGACCGCCAGGATGACGCTTAAAGTTCATCCAAGGTGACGTGTAACCGTTGGAGTAAACCTTCGGTTTCTTGTCCAGCTCCACGAGGTAGTTCCCCTGCAACTTCCCCATCTCGAAGGCCTTGAGGAAGAAGTGCAGGGAGTACCCCGAAAGAGGATGCTGCAACCACGATGCCCAATCGTATTCACCACCCAAAGACTCTCTCATAGAAGTAGTCAAAGTGTGCCAGGGGGTGACCTGAACGAGGGCATCGCCATAGGTGCTAAGCATCGGCTGGCCAGAGGAGTCCACCATGTGCAACTTGCCGTGGCGAAGAGATGCCATGGATTCGTCCTGGCCTTGCGGAGAACCTCGTTGAGCTCCTCCTGCTGCTGGGACTTATGCGCATCAATCTTGCCGTGGACGGTGTCCCCAGGCTGATACGCATACTTGGTGTCTCCTTCGGAGGCTGTGGCTTGCCGCTCCCGCTCTGCCTTAAGCTCATTGTCACGAATAAGCTTCTGGAGAGCTGCCGCGTCCAATGTGGGTACCTTCTCCTGAGAGAAGCTTCCCGGTGACGCTTGGCCTGCATCCTGAGATGTCTTTGGCCGCTTCTTGGGAGCTGGCTTCGAAGGCATTGGATCCGAGCTGCTACCCGGTACCCCTCCCTGTGGAGGGCCTCCGGAAGCAGATGCGGAAGCAGACGCTGAGGTTCCCT